ACGAGTGTGTGAGTGTGTGTGTGTGTGTGTCAGTAGAGCATAACGAGTGTGTGTGTGTGTGTGTGTCAGCAGAGCGTGACAAGTGTGTATGTGTGTGTGTGTGTGTCAGCAGAGCGTGACGTGTGTGTATGTGTGTGTGTGTGTGTGTGTGTCAGTAGAGCGTGATGAGTGTGTGTGTGTGTGTCAGTAGAGCGTGACGAGTGTTTGTGTGTGTCAGAGCATGACGAGTGTGTGTGTGTGTGTGTGTCAGTAGAGCATAACGAGTGTGTGTGTGTGCGTATGTCAGCAGAGCATAACGAGTGTGTGTGTGTGTGTGTGTGTGTGTCAGTAGAGCGTGACGAGTGTGTGCGTGTCAGTAGAGCGTGACGAGTGTGTGAGTGTGTGTGTGTGTGTGTGTGTCAGTAGAGCGTGATGAGTGTGTGTGTGTGTCAGTAGAGCGTGATGAGTGTGTGTGTGTGTCAGTAGAGCGTGACGAGTGTGTGAGTGTGTGTGTGTGTGTGTCAGTAGAGCGTGACGAGTGTGTGAGTGTGTGTGTGTGTGTGTGTCAGTAGAGCGTGACGAGTGTGTGAGTGTGTGTGTGTGTGTGTGTGTCAGTAGAGCGTGACGAGTGTGTGAGTGTGTGTGTGTGTGTGTGTGTCAGTAGAGCGTGACGAGTGTGTGAGTGTGTGTGTGTGTGTGTCAGTAGAGCGTGACGAGTGTGTGAGTGTGTGTGTGTGTGTGTGTCAGTAGAGCGTGACGAGTGTGTGAGTGTGTGTGTGTGTGTCAGTAGAGCGTGACGAGTGTGTGAGTGTGTGTGTGTGTGTGTGTGTCAGTAGAGCGTGACGAGTGTGTGAGTGTGTGTGTGTGTGTGTCAGTAGAGCGTGACGAGTGTGTGAGTGTGTGTGTGTGTTGCAGGAAGACTCTGCTGGATGCTCATCTCTGCATGGATCAGTACCAGCGTCTCTTCAGCTCCTCCAGACGGGCCGGACTCCAGCGCGACACACTCGTCACAGCAGACGGAGCGCACGTCATCGTGGCCTGCAGGAATCAGGTGTGTGTGTTTCTGTCGTGTTACACCTGTGTTTGTTTGCTGAGATGACAGTCAAGAAAAGGCCATAGTTGGTCCTGATTCTCTGAAGGACATCAGTCGCCTTCATCCGATCCAGTTAATCACGGTCCAACCGAGAGAGGCTCTTAAATTAGCAGCAGTCCATCGACACACACTCTTCAGCATCACAGAGACTCCCTCTCTGCAGACGTCCAGCTGGGCGAGCGAGCGCTGCGGGCCTGAGGGTCGTTTACCTGGAAATGAGTCCCTAATGAGGTCCGGTCGGAAAACTCAATAACCCAATCAGAGAAGTGGAGCCGCGGGGAGCCGCTGTGTGTGTCCGCCACGCTGAGATCACGACTGCACTAGACCAGCAGTTTCACTGAACAAACAATAAAACTGTGCTAGTTAGTTAACATGACATCCAATAAAACACAATGCTAACTGTTCTGTAATTAGCAGATAGGGATCAGCATCAGTCCTTCTCCAGAGAAGTGCAGGATAAACCCGTGTTTCGTTCATGTTCTCAGTTCTTCGTGCTGAACCTGACAGAAGGATCCTGTGGGCTGAACGAGGCTGATGTTCAGGCTCAGCTGCAGTGGATCTACGAGCAGACGCAGACGCGAGCGCAGACGCAGCCGGCCGTGGGACTGCTGACCGCCGACGGACGGGCGGATTGGGCTTCAGCCAGAGAACAGCTGCTCAAAGGTCCAACGCAACACTGCATGAGCCGCGTTTCCACTGTCGGGCTGCTAGTGCGTGCCAGGCCAGCCGCGTTTCCACTGTCCCTCGGGGGCTTGATCGGGCCTCGTCGGGCTTCCTCAGGGCCAACGGCCAGGGGTTTATGGACCACCGAACCCCTTGGTCCAAAGCGGGCCGGATCGGGCTTGAGGAGTGGTTACGAACAGAGGAGTTTTCCCGAGTCGGGAGACGGTAGCGCCGGGTGATCCCATACCAGCTAACATCAGCATTAAAGACTTTTGAAGTCATTTATCTCAACTCACTTTCATGTTTGAATACCTTCTGTTTGTGGGTTCTGATCACTGTATAAGGCAGAAATATTTATACAGCGATGCAAAAGACTGCGTGCTAACCATTACCATATAAACATGGTAAAAATGACCGCTTGAAGAAATCAGACAAATCATATAGACTATCACAATCATGTTTTTATTTTATCTGTCAGTACGTCTCGTCTCTTTATACCGGACTGTCAGATCATATTTAGCTCCGCATATGTCATAAAATAAAGCAACTCCGGTTTTTCGAGAGCTTCCTCTGTTTCTCTGACTGAAAATGCAACTGTATTATTTGGGAGATAGTGCTAAAGCTCCTCAGGTCGTATTTTTGGAGGCATATTTGTAGAAATTATCATTCTTTCTAAATGTGATGTAAACATATGTCCTGAAGCTGTGACTACAAATAAACAGAAACAGACGCGACTGAATAACTAGGTAAGTGTGTCCCCTTTCTTTTGTCAAATAACTGTAAACCACTTTATTTCTGTGTGACTAATGTCCAATCTTGACACAAATTAATTCATTATGATCAATGTATCACTTTTTATTGTAAACCTGTGGTAAAACATCGATGCTTGGGTTTTAAATCTTAAGTAAGCAACAAAAATGCCAGCAAACGGTTGCTTTTATCATGTTCGTTTTGCGATCTCGCTAGTTCTCAGTGATTTCTTTCTGATTAGTTTTCTAAAAAAAACTTCCATTAGTGGGCGAAATGATGGGTGTGTGTGACGTTCCAGAGAGGCGTGTTACGGGTGTGTTTTAGTGAAGCGCCGCAGAGCTTCAGGCCCGACGGTGGAAACGCAGCGGGTTTTGGGCTCGGCGCTCCAGACCCGAGGCTTTTAGCCCTGCCGCGCGTTTAAAGCCCGCTCGCACCGGCCCCACAGTGGAAACACGGCTATAGACATGGTGGTAATAGCTAGAAACACAGTAATCTCTCAGGTTACTTTCATTGCTTTTGCCAAATTTCACAGCTAACTAGAAGGTGAAATCCAGTTTCCCATGATCCTATGCATGACAGACAAGCATTTCAATTTGTGTAAAATCTGACACACAGATCCAGTGAACCGAGAGTCAGTGGAGCTGATGGAGAGCTGCATGTGTGTCGTGTGCCTGGATGATCCCGCGGGACTCGATCCCAGCGACGCCAACAGAGCTTCACTGATGCTGCACGGCGGAGGACAGGAGAAGAACGGGGCAAACCGCTGGTACGACAAACCCCTGCAGGTACAACTATGACAGAGAGGACTCTACAGCTGCTGGTGTTTCAGACACTCTGGTCTATCAGTCAAGTGAACATTACTTTAAATTTACTCATTTAAAGTAATATAATCGTTTGTTTTTAGCCAGGCTTCTGTCAAACACAGCACATCTAGGTTATAGTCTGTAATCACATAATGAACAATAAGTGCTTTTGAAGAAAGGGATCGAATATTTAGCAAGCAAACCAAGCTTTTTCATTTGTTCATCTGTATTATATCTGTTTTTTATATGTTGAACATCAATTTAATGGGAGTTTTTTGTATTTCCTAATTCGGGGAACAGACACAGTTTCTATATGATGATATCTAGGTGAAAGAGTCTCTATGTGATGGGATTTATCTGACCTTGGTGACGTGAGGCCGCTGGCAGACGGTCGGTTTAGCCAGTCTGTCTGCTTCCTGACCTGAGCCCCAGATTGTCATGTTTGAGCTCTAAGACTATGTGCCATATTACTAGAGAGTAGAGCAGCACCAGCCCAGGAGGGATGAATACCAACTCTTTTCAACAGGTCAGGTCTGCCCCAACAACTTTTTCAATTGTCTATGAACCCTATATTATTTTGCGGACACCACTTCGACAGCCAGCCATTGAGTGAGGACAGTCTACTAACTATCTCATCACTCCTGCGAACAGGAAGGGGGCCAGAGCAAATTACTCATACTTGCGAGTTCACACACCTCTTTAATGTTAATTTTAGTGATCTCCGACTGGTGAAGTCAAATATCATTAGTGCCAACGTGAATAATAATCTTAGAGAATTTACGATTAACATTAGCCAGCACTTTTAAATTTGCTTTGATGTCAGGCACTCTGGCTCACGGCAAACATGTGACTATGGTGGCTGGTGTCTCTATTTTCACATTCCGGGTAATAGAATCGCCAATAACTAGGGCACATTCAACAGGATTCTCAGTGGGTGTTTCACTGAGTGGGGAGAATCTATTTGTTATGGTAATCGGAACGGAAGAACGGTGTTTTGTCCCGCGACTACAGCATCTCACGGTCACCCAGTTGCCCTGCTGCACGGGCTCTACTACAGCCGGAACCAAACAATGTACAGTGTTCACTAAGCTAGGTGCATCCAAAGCAGTATCTAAAGCCCTTGCACTCTTACTATCCTCGATTAAAGTTTGGATGCGTGTCTCTAGTTCTGAAATCTTCTCCGTCAGCCTGACTATCTCCCTGCATTTATCACCAGTAAAGCCCTCGGCGCTGACAGAGAAGGCTATACTACACATGTGACATGAAGTGCAAGTGACAATAATAGGAGAAGACATGACTCACCGTGTTTGTTGACTGATCCTACTCAACACAGTTGTTTGATGGACTCGAAAAGGCACGAGCGTGTGAGAAAAAAATACGGCAAACAGGCTATTAACAGGCTAGCGGAAGGCTAGCGCATTTTGCGAGCGATAGTGATTTAGATTACAGCTAGCGAAGTCAGATCAATGTGACAGACAAAAGTAGATAATATCAGATATCTGGTTGATGAGTACGATATATTTAGCGACGATATATTTAACAACAAGGAATGATAGTAAATAGAGATTCAAAACGGAAAGCTATACGGAGCTTACAGACACAAACCACACGGCAGCAAGACAGCACTGGTCAGTCAAATGTTCAAACACTGCGACTCAAGAGTCTGTGTGCTGGAAGAGCCACAACTTTGGCTTCTTTTTCAGTTGTGTTTGTTGACACACTTCCTCTCCAAAAGCTGCATGAACACCAATAGACCTGAGAAATGGAAGCATTGAGAATGTTATGGAAGTGTGTGTGTGTGTGTGTTTTGTTTCAGTTCGTGATTGGTGCTGATGGTGTGTGTGGGGTGGTGTGTGAGCACTCGCCGCTCGAGGGCATCGTTCTGGTGCAGTGCACTGAACACGTCCTGAAACACATGTACGTCATCAACACCAGATCATTACTAACTCAAAATCTGTCTGTAACTCAAGGAGGAAGTTGAGAAGTTAGAGAAGATTCTCTTTTGACTTTCTTCTCAGAGGTATATATAATAATTATGTTTAAAACATGTTTCAGCCAGGTGATGCAACAATAACTTAAATGAATTAACTTACCAATGAAAGGTTATGAATTAACTCTCCCTACCTTCCCTGCAGACGGAGCAGCTCCTTTAAGCCGGTCTCCGGTCGGAGTGTGTCTGAACTTCCTCATCCACGCAGATTAGTGTGGAAATGTTCCGCTGGGATCCAGAGTGCGCTGGCCTCCGCCGCTGATCACCTGCAGAGGTGAGGAAAACACACCACACCTGTGGAAGGAGACTATCACAGACTCAAGCAGTTTATATAATCTCAGGCATCAGCACTGGTTTGATTGACACTCTTCATTCCTCCTGTAGACTTGTGAGGAATCTGGACATGAATGTTTCCACCTTCACTGCTCACGGGAAGGAGTGGATCAAGCAGCAGAAGATGAGTCCCGACGCGTACATTCAGCTGGCTCTACAGCTGGCCTTCTACAGGTACAGACGCTCCTGTTTACCTCTCTCTGCTGGACTGTCCCGACCTCGTCTCGCTGTGTGTGTGTGTGTGTGTGTGTGTGTGTGTGTGTGTGTGTGTGTGTGTGTGTGTGTGCAGATCTCACAGCCGACTTCATCTCTGTGTGTGTGTGTGTGTGTGTGCAGATCTCAAAGTAGACCTGATCTCACTGTGTGTGTGTGTGTGTGTGTGTGTGTGTGTGTGTGTGTGTGTGTGTGAGTGTGCAGATCTCACAGAAGACTTCATCTCGCTGTGTGTGTGTGTGTGTGTGTGTGTGCAGATCTCACAGAAGACTTCATCTCGCTGTGTGTGTGTGTGTGTGTGTGTGTGTGTGTGTGCAGATCTCACAGAAGACTTCATCTCGCTGTGTGTGTGTGTGTGCAGATCTCACAGAAGACCCGTCTCCACCTACGAGAGCGCTTCTCTCCGCCGCTTCCGGCAGGGACGCGTGGACAACATCCGCTCGGCGACTCCCGAGGCACTGGCGTTCGCCAAGGCAATGACAGATGGCAGAACATCCACTCAGGTCACACACATTTACTTTCGTTACATGATCGTCTCTCCTTTACTTTCTGCCATAAACAGAACAATATCTGGGATTAAACTCACACTTTCATTCCAGGACACCGAGAAGATGGAGAAACTGCGAGCAGCTGTAGAAGCTCAGACACAAATCACAGCTCTGGTGAGTTACTACTTGAGTTACTTATTTGCTTAATATTTCGATGTAAATATAAAAGTAAAGTGTATTGTGATGCCGAAAGTGGCGTTTGCTCGCCCGCAGGTCGTCGCAGGGATGGGGACGGACAATCACTTATTAGGACTACGAGAAATGGCCAAAGAGATGAAAATGGAGACGCCAGACATTTTCTCTGATGAAACGTACCACATCAGTAACCATTTCATCCTGTCAACCAGTCAGGTAGGAGAAGAACACTATATAAGCACAACACAATACAACTTTATTGTCGCCCGTAATTGAAACAGTCTTTGTCCTCTAACAGTCCCATACGAACAAAACTTATTTGATGTGAGAATGAGCCACTGACTGATCAGAATCAAGAGTTTCAGGTGTTTTCACAGGGCTGCTTTGCTCTTTAACCACAATTGCATCATTCCACATTATTTAAGAATATTTTAGAAATCTTCCCCATTATATAGAATTATTTATAAGTCATTTCTGCAAATGTAACTATAGCTGAGAAGCAGAGATTTCTGGGGGCTTGAGAAATGCTGTAATATACAGTGCATCCGGAAAATATTCACAGCGCTTCACTTTTTGCACATTTTGTTATGTTACAGCCTTACTCCTCATTCTTCTTTGCAGAACCTCTCAAGCTCCATCAGGTTGGATGGGGAGCTTCAGTGCACAGCCATTTTCAGATCTCTCCAGAGATGTTCAATCGGGTTTGAGTCTGGGCTCTGGTGGACCACTCAAGGACATTCACAGAGTTGTCCTGGAGCCACTGCTCTGTTATCTTGGCTGTGTGCTGAGGGTCGTTGTGCTGTTGGAAGATGAACCGTCGCCCCAGTCTGAGATCCAGAGCAGGTTTTCATCAAGAGTGTCTCTGTACATTCGTCTTTCCCTCGATCCTGTTTGCCTCGATCCTGACGAGTCTCCCAGTTCCTCATCTTTCCCTCGATCCTGACGAGTCTCCCAGTTCCTCATCTTTCCCTAGACCATGACGAGTCTCCCAGTTCCTCATCTTTCCCTCGACACTGACGAGTCTCCCAGTTCCTCATCTTTCCCTCGACCCTGACGAGTCTCCCAGTTCCTCATCTTTCCCTCGATCCTGACGAGTCTCCCAGTTCCTCATCTTTCCCTCGATCCTGACGAGTCTCCCAGTTCCTCATCTTTCCCTCGATCCTGACGAGTCTCCCAGTACCTCATCTTTCCCTCGACCCTGACGAGTCTCCCAGTTCCTCATCTTTCCCTCGATCCTGACGAGTCTCCCAGTACCTCATCTTTCCCTCGACCCTGACTAGTCTCCCAGTTCCTCATCTTTCCCTCGACCCTGACTAGTCTCCCAGTTCCTCATCTTTCCCTCAATCCTGACGAGTCTCCCAGTACCTCATCTTTCCCTTGATCCTGACGAGTCTCCCAGTACCTCATCTTTCCCTCGATCCTGACGAGTCTCCCAGTACCTCATCTTTCCCTCGACCCTGACGAGTCTCCCAGTTCCTCATCTTTCCCTCGATCCTGACGAGTCTCCCCAGTACCTCATCTTTCCCTCGACCCTGACTAGTCTCCCAGTTCCTCATCTTTCCCTCGACCCTGACGAGTCTCCCAGTTCCTCATCTTTCCCTCAATCCTGACGAGTCTCCCAGTTCCTCATCTTTCCCTCGACCCTGACGAGTCACCCAGTTCCTCATCTTTCCCTCGATCCTGATGAGTCTCCCAGTACCTCATCTTTCCCTCGGTCCTGACGAGTCTCCCAGTTCCTCATCTTTCCCTCGATCCTGACGAGTCTCCCATTACCTCATCTTTCCCTCGATCCTGACGAGTCTCCCAGTTCCTCATCTTTCCCTTGATCCTGACGAGTCTCCCAGTTCCTCATCTTTCCCTCGATCCTGACGAGTCTCCCAGTACCTCATCTTTCCCTCAATCCTGACGAGTCTCCCAGTTACTCATCTTTCCCTCGATCCTGACGAGTCTCCCAGTACCTCATCTTTCCCTTGATCCTGACGAGTCTCCCAGTTCCTCATCTTTCCCTGGATCCTGACGAGTCTCCCAGTACCTCATCTTTCCCTCGACCCTGACGAGTCTCCCAGTACCTCATCTGTACCTCATCTTTCCCTCGATCCTGACGAGTCTCCCAGTTCCTCATCTTTCCCTCGATCCTGACGAGTCTCCCAGTACCTCATCTTTCCCTTGATACTGACGAGTCTCCCAGTACCTCATCTTTCCCTCGACCCTGACGAGTCTCCCAGTTCCTCATCTTTCCCTCGATCCTGATGAGTCTCCCAGTACCTCATCTTTCCCTCGGTCCTGACGAGTCTCCCAGTTCCTCATCTTTCCCTCGATCCTGACGAGTCTCCCAGTACCTCATCTTTCCCTCGATCCTGACGAGTCTCCCAGTTCCTCATCTTTCCCTCGATCCTGACGAGTCTCCCAGTACCTCATCTTTCCCTCGATCCTGACGAGTCTCCCAGTTCCTCATCTTTCCCTGGATCCTGACGAGTCTCCCAGTACCTCATCTTTCCCTCGATCCTGACGAGTCTCCCAGTTCCTCATCTTTCCCTCGATCCTGACGAGTCTCCCAGTTCCTCATCTTTCCCTCGACCCTGACGAGTCTCCCAGTTCCTCATCTTTCCCTCGATCCTGACGAGTCTTCCAGTACCTCATCTTCCCCTCAACCCTGACGAGTCTCCCAGTTCCTCATCTGTCCCTCGACACTGACGAGTCTCCCAGTTCCTCATCTTTCCCTGGATCCTGACGAGTCTCCCAGTTCCTCATCTTTCCCTCGACCCTGACGAGTCTCCCAGTACCTCATCTTTCCCTGGATCCTGACGAGTCTCCCAGTTCCTCATCTTTCCCTCGACCCTGACGAGTCTCCCAGTTCCTCATCTTTCCCTCGATCCTGACGAGTCTCCCAGTTCCTCATCTTTCCCTCGACCCTGACGAGTCTCCCAGTTCCTCATCTTTCCCTCGACACTGACGAGTCTCCCAGTTCCTCATCTTTCCCTCGATCCTGACGAGTCTCCCAGTACCTCATCTTTACCTCGATCCTGACGAGTCTCCCAGTTCCTCATCTTTCCCTCGACCCTGACGAGTCTCCCAGTTCCTCATCTTTCCCTCGATCCTGACGAGTCTCCCAGTTCCTCATCTTTCCCTCGATCCTGACGAGTCTCCCAGTACCTCATCTTTCCCTCAACCCTGACGAGTCTCCCAGTTCCTCATCTTTCCCTCGACCCTGACGAGTCTCCCAGTACCTCATCTTTCCCTCGATCCTGACGAGTCTCCCAGTTCCTCATCTTTCCCTCGATCCTGACGAGTCTCCCAGTACCTCATCTTTCCCTCAACCCTGACGAGTCTCCCAGTACCTCATCTTTCCCTCAACCCTGACGAGTCTCCCAGTTCCTCATCTTCCCTGTTAAACACCCCCACAGCTGATGCTGCTTCACTGTAGGGATGGTATTGTCCAGGTGATGAGCGGTGCCTGCTTTCCTCCAGACATGACGCTTGCCATTCAGGCCAAAGAGTTCAATCTTTGTTTCATCAGACCAGAGAATGTTGTTTCTCATGATCTGAGAGTCCTTCAGGTGCCTTTTGGCAAACTCCAGGCGGGCTGTCATGTGCCTTTTACTGAGGAGTGGCTTCCGTCTGATTGGCAGAGTTCTGCAGAGATGGTGGTTCTTCTGGAATGTTCTCAGGCCTGATTGGTGGAGATCTGCAGAGATGGTGGTTCTTCTGGAAGGTTCTCCTCTCTCCACAGTGAAACGCTGGATCTCTGTCAGAGTGACCATCGGGTTCTTGGTCTCTTCCCTGACTGAGGCCCTTGACAACAGACAATTCCTTGGACTTCATGGCTTGGTTTGTACTCTGACATGCACTGTTAACTGTGGGACCTTATATAGACAGGTGAGTGCCTTTCCAATGTCTAATCAACTGAATTTACCACAGGTGGACTCCAATCCAGTTGTAGAAGCATCTCAAGGATGATCAGTGTAAACCGGATGAACCTGAGCTCAAATTTGAGTGTCATGGCAAAGGCTGTGAATACTTATGTACATGTGATTTTTTCGTTTTTTATTTTCAATAAATTTGCAAAGATTTCAAACAAACTTCTTTCACGTTGTCATTATGGGGTATTGTTTGTAGAATTTTGAGGAAAATAATGAATTTACTCCATTTTGGAATAAGGCTGTAACATAACAAAATGTGGAAAAAGTGAAGCGCTGTGAATACTCTCCGGATGCACTGTATACAGTGTATATATACAGGTCCTTCTCAAAAAATTATCATATTGTGATAAAGTTCATTATTTTCCATAATGTAATGATAAAAATTAAACTTTCATATATTTTAGATTCATTGCACACCAACTGAAATATTTCAGGTCTTTTATTGTTTTAATACCGATGATTTTGGCATACAGCTCATGAAAACCCAAAATTCCTGTCTCAAAAAATTAGCATATCATGAAAAGGGTCTCTAAACAAGCTATTAACCTAATCATCTGAATCAACTAATTAACTCTAAACACCTGCAAAAGATTCCTGAGGCTTTTAAAAACTCCCAGCCTGTTTCATTACTCAAAACCGCAATCATGGGTAAGACTGCCGACCTGACTGCTGTCCAGAAGGCCATCATTGACACCCTCAAGCAAGAGGGTAAGACAGAAAGAAATTTCTGAACAAATAGGCTGTTCCCAGAGTGCTGTATCAAGGCACCTCAGTGGGAAGTCTGTGGGAAGGAAAAAGTGTGGCAAAAAACGCTGCACAACGAGAAGAGGTGACCGGACCCTGAGGAAGATTGTGGAGAAGGACCGATTCCAGACCTTGGGGGACCTGCGGAAGCAGTGGACTGAGTCTGGAGTAGAAACATCCAGAGCCACCGTGCACAGGCGTGTGCAGGAAATGGGCTACAGGTGCCGCGGCAGAAGCGCCTGACCTGGGCTACAGAGAAGCAGCACTGGACTGTTGCTCAGTTTTGCATGTCATTCGGAAATCAAGGTGCCAGAGTCTGGAGGAAGACTGGGGAGAAGGAAATGCCAAAATGCCTGAAGTCCAGTGTCAAGTACCCACAGTCAGTGATGGTCTGGGGTGCCATGTCAGCTGCTGGTGTTGGTGCACTGTGTTTTATCAAGGGCAGGGTCAATGCAGCTAGCTATCAGGAGATTTTGGAGCACTTCATGCTTCCATCTGCTGAAAAGCTAAATGGTAAATGGTTTACTGACCATGGTATTACTGTGCTCAATTGGCCTGCCAGCTCTCCTGACCTGAACCCCATAGAGAATCTGTGGGATATTGTGAAGAGAAAGTTGAGAGACGCAAGACCCAACACTCTGGATGAGCTTAAGGCCGCTATCGAAGCATCCTGGGCCTCCATAACACCTCAGCAGTGCCACAGGCTGATTGCCTCCATGCCACGCCGCATTGAAGCAGTCATTTCTGCAAAAGGATTCCCGACCAAGTATTGACTATTGAGTGCATAACTGAACATAATTATTTGAAGGTTGACTTTTTTTTTTTGTATTAAAAACACTTCTTTTATTGGTCGGATGAAATATGCAAATTTTTTTAGACAGGAATTTTGGGCTTTCATGAGCTGTATGCCAAAATCATCAGTATTAAAACAATAAAAGACCAGAAATATTTCAGTTGGTGTGCAATGAATCTAAAATATATGAAAGTTTAATTTTTATCATTACATTATGGAAAATAATGAACTTTATCACAATATGCTAATTTTTTGAGAAGGACCTGTATATGTGTGTGTGTGATGTATGATGTTTGTCCTTCCAGGTTCCAACGACAGAGGAGATGTTTTGTTGCTACGGTCCAGTGGTTGCCGACGGTTACGGCGTGTGCTACAACCCGCAGGCCGACCGCATGCTGTTCTGTGTGTCCAGTTCCAGCGAGAGCACAGAAACATGTTCAGGGCTGTTCGTTCGGGAGCTGGACGCCGGGCTGAGGGACATGATGCACCTGTGCATGAACCACAGCGCCCGCAGACAACAGCGTCAGACCGTCTGAGACGACAGTGAAGAACAACAGCGTCAGCTTCATTTCCACAGAGCAGATTCACACTGATAAACAGGAGAATAGCAGCTGTAGTAAAACGCAAACAACAGCACTTCGCTTGATGACTGTAATGTGAATAATATTCCTCACTGCTGGACAGACGTGCAACTAGAGCTCACTTTACAGACACTTATGTTGAAAATGTCATTTTTCACATTCAGGTTAGATAAAGTTTTACTGAAATAACACGCACTTTAGTTCTTTAACCAGACACAAACGTTTGGTGTGATTGAAGGAAACGCTGATGAAAAAAACATTTTAAAGGAATTACTGTCTGTGGACATTAGATTTTAATTTATTATATTTATCATGCTATAATAAAACAGCTATTAACCAGTACTGTAAATTATTGCTATAAAATTATTCCATTTAAAAACGTACTTAGAGTATATTTCCATTTTATTAATATCTTAAAAGTGCAATAACACCGGCAGAATGTTCACGCTGCTTTCTGAATCAAATCTCTCTGACCGGAGCCACAAATAAATCTAATGCCATCCATCCATCCATCTATACAGCCATCCATCCATCATCCATCCACATCCATCCATCCACATCCATCCATCCATCTATACATCCATACATCCATCCATCCATCCATACATCCATCTATACATCTATCCATCCATCCATCCATCTATACATACATCCATCCATCTATACATACATCCATCCATCCATCTATACATTCATCCATCCATCTATACATCCATCCATCCATCTATACATCCATCCATCCATCCATCCATCCATCTATACATCCATCCATCCATCTATACATCCATCTATACATTCATCCATCTATACATCCATCTATACATCCATCCATCCATCTATACATCCATCTATACATTCATCCATCTATACATCCATCCATCCATCTATACAGCCATCCATCTATACATCCATCTATACATTCATCCATCTATACATCCATCCATCCATCTATACAGCCATCCATCCATCATCCATCCACATCCATCCATCCACATCCATCCATCCATCTATACATACATCCATCCATCTATACATACATCCATCCATCCATCTATACATTCATCTATACATCTATCCATCCATCCATCCATCTATACATACATCCATCCATCTATACATACATCCATCCATCCATCTATACATTCATCCATCCATCTATACATCCATCCATCCATCTATACATCCATCCATCCATCCATCCATCTATACATCCATCCATCCATCTATACATCCATCTATACATTCATCCATCTATACATCCATCTATACATCCATCCATCCATCTATACATCCATCTATACATTCATCCATCTATACATCCATCCATCCATCCATCCATCATCCATCCACATCCATCCATCCATCCATCTATACATCCATACATCCATCCATACATCCATCTATACATCTATCCATCCATCCATCCATCTATACATACATCCATCCATCTATACATCCATCCATCTATACATTCATCCATCCATCTATACATCCATCCATCCATCTATACATCCATCCATCCATCCATCCATCTATACATCCATCCATCCATCTATACATCCATCTATACATTCATCCATCTATACATCCATCCATCCATCCATCTATACATCATCCATCCATCTATACATCCATCCATCCATCTATACATCCATCCATCCATCTATACATCCATCCATCCATCCATCCATCCATCTATACATCCATCCATCCATCTATACATCCATCTATACATTCATCCATCTATACATCCATCCATCCATCCATCTATACATCCATCCATCCATCTATACAGCCATTCATCCATCATCCATCCACATCCATCCATCCACATCCATCCATCCATCTATACATCCATACATCCATACATCCATCTATACATCTATCCATCCATCCATCCATCTATACATTCATCCATCCATCTATACATCCATCCATCCATCTATACATCCATCCATCCATCCATCTATACATCCATCCATCCATTCATCCATCTATACATCCATCCATCCATCCATCTATACATCCATCCATCCATCTATACATCCATCCATCCATCTATACATACATCCATCCATCCATCCATCTATACATACATCCATCCAACCATCCATCCATCCATCCATCCATCTATACATCCATCCATCCATCCATCTATACATCCATCCATCCATCTATACATCCATCCATCCATCCATCCATCTATACATCCATCCATCCATCCATCTATACATTCATCCATCTATACATCCATCCATCCATCTATACATCCATCCATCCATCTATACATCCATCCATCCATCCATCCATCCATCCATCTATAATGATATTAGCATGTTGACATTTACATAGCTTTTAAAATAGTTAAAAACTAAAGAACGTATAAGTTTACATGTTACTTGGTAGTCTGTAAAAGAACACTTTAATGCTGCTAATATACGACTAGTCAAACACA